CTGCATGCATCCCTTGGATATTATTTTAGTAACTGCTTGAACGGCAACGCGATGTTTACAGTGAGAACAGCTGTGAGGTCCGTGCAGAAAGCATAGCAGTGTGTGTATAATATATATCACTCTTTATTTGCTTTAGTTTAGTAGATATCTACAAACAAAGAGTCAATATTGTTCTAAGACCATTCAGTGCTTCACATAATAAAATACACAACGGCTGTAGCCTGATTATGCTTTAGGAGCTGTAGGTGTAGGTGTGTGTGGTACAGTGTGTGTATGTGTGCGTGTGTGTGTGTGTGTGTGTGTGTGTGTGTGTGTGTGTGTGTGTGTGTGTTGTACAGTGTGTGCGGCAGACAGACGGGTCTCAGTTGGTTTGGTGTCATATGCTTACTTTTAATACTTGTACAACTTTTGGCCCGTAATTTCAATTCCCCATTTCAGCGACCAGAGAGAGGGGGGGATATATATCCAGTCTCTGATTGTGTTACGTTATTATGAGAGTGCTCTCATACTTGTTTGATTCTGAAATTGTATATATTGATATAAATATATGTGTGTATGTCCGCATCTGTAGCTTGTTATTGTCTCATTATACCGCACTCTCAATGAATTAAAAGTAAATATATATAAGTCATCATGAACACATCTGTCCATCAGAGTGCTGCTGTGCCTCCTGTCATCATTAATGGACGTCTCTTTAAAATGACCGCTCAGAGGAGAGGAGTTCTCATTTCTCTAACCGCCTGCTGCTTCCACTCCTCTCTCCTCGGTTTCCCTCCTCAGTCCTCCGCTCGCATCTCCTGTGGGCGGCACCAAGTCTCGAGGATAGGAGTCGAGGAAAGGAGTCGAGGAGGGGAAATTTGAGTATTGAGAAACCTCTCTTCTCTTCGTGTGGCCGGTCTTTTTCTTCTTCGTGTGTGATTATTTGACAGATAAGAACCACACAACTGCATTAGCGGCNGTGGAGGCGTTATGCACGGCCGGAGTTATCTCAGCCAATGACAGCTCTGCATGCATCCCTTGGATATTATTTTAGTAACTGCTTGAACGGCAACGCGATCATCGCGTTGCCGTTCAAGCAGTTACTAAAATAATATCCAAGGGATGCATGCAGAGCTGTCATTGGCTGAGATAACTCCGGCCGTGCATAACGCCTCCACCGTTCCCGGAAATGCATCCGCGGAGGAGCCGTGGAGGAACCATCAGTGTCTCCTCGGTTAGAGCTCCTCCTGAGAGCCTCCACGATGCTCGATGCTCGGTCCTCGAAGTGCATTTAGAGAAATAAGATGCCCTTCAAAATGGCGCGCTGAAATTCATTTCCGGGTCACTACCGGAGGACCGAGGAGGGGAAATTTGAGTATTGAGAAACCTCTATTGTCTTGCCAGTCACTTCCTTTATCTTAGTTGGAGCAATGGCATCTATAACATTTTTATTTTTGGATTAAAATGATCTACAAGCTCATTTACTGAGATGTTCGCAAGGGCAAGTGTGGAAGAAAAATTCTGAGTAAACATTTCCCTAGTATTTTCAGTTAAATATCGCTTTGTGGTTACCTCATTTTGAACATTTTTGTGAACAGAAATAGAGCTCTCAAAGAAAACACAGGAATGATCAGAGAGTGCAACATCACTCACCTCAACCTCAGAGATATTCAGACCCTTTGAGATAATTAAGTCCAGAGTGTGCCCCTTATTGTGCTTGGGCTCCGTCACATGCTGATTTAGTCCATAGTTATCAAGAACACAAAACAGTTCTTTCCTGACTCATAAAACTAAAGTTGGGAGGGGTTGATTCGATAAGAACAGCTGCACTGTTATTTTATTCAATCCAAGTTTCCGTTAAAAACATAAAATCGAGATTGTGCTCAGTGATAAAATCATTGATTAAAAATGTTTTTCCTGCCAAAGACCTGATATTTAATAAAGCTAGTTTAAGTTTATTGGATACACTATCAGTAAGATTTTTTGTGACAAGCTGTGGCTGACATGGAATCACTGCTAAATTTGATAAGGTCACACAAACGTTTGAGCACTTCCTGTTCCTGATTCACCGCTCTTAATCTATTACCTATCAACACAGATATCGGCAAAGCTAAAGGAAAAGGAAAACAATATTATTTTTAACTCTCGGGCACAATTTGATAATTAATTTGTAGATAAAAGTGTTAAATTGTTTATTTTACACGAAGATTAGTTTTGGCCAACAGTACCAGTTATTGCAAACATCCGTCTCAAATTCAGGGCACTATTATTATTTGGAGGTAAATTCATTGGGTGAAATTAATGAATTTTGAATGTACACTAGACTAGCATTTCAGTGTAAGAGAGCATTAATACTTTTTGCATGGCACTTCAAAATCAAATGCTATAGTATTAAGAAATGGAAAACCCAATCCAAATCCTCTTAATTATGAATTCACTGTGTCACTGTGTCCCATAATGACCCTCAATCTAAATGATTATAGAAGAAAATTATGAGTTTTGTCCAACAGTACCAGTTATTGCAGGCATCTACAGGCAGGGTAGTCCCGGCTGGGTATGTCCCCCCCTGGTGGTAGCAGGGGCAGTGGGCCAGGGGCACACAGCTGCCGTTGAGCAGGTAGAAGCCCGGGGCGCAGTAGCAACCGTCGTAACAGGCGGTGGCACACTCCACCTCTGCGGGGGTCATGTCCAAACACACCCGTGGACACGCACCGCCGTGAGCCTCACACTCTGCTGACGTCATATTCACCATGCCCTCTGGACACACACCTGTGAGGAGTGGAGTGGAAGTAAAGACTGAATATATTAAACAGGCATAAACAGGTGTTTATCTCTCATATCGGAAAAGGAAAAACTTCAAAAAAATGGGGGAAAATGGAAGACATTTCAGGGAGAGCAACAGAGGAGGGGTCCCTCTCCCAGGAGAGACAGACGTGCAATAGATGTCGTTTGTAAATTAAAAACGTATGAAAACCTCACCTCTGGCCGGCAGAGAACTCACTGCTACAGTTTGAGTTTCTCCTTTCTTACCTGTAGTATTTTGGATCCTGTTGTATTTTTGAATTTTTATTTTCATTATCCAGAATATTTTTACATAGTTTTGTTTATATTGTTTGTATTTGATATCATAGTTTTCATTTTATTTCTAATTGCTCATTCTCTTTTACCGTTTTTCTAAATATTTTAAGTATTGTATTATAAAGTCTGAACACACTTCTGCTTCTGTGACGAAAGAATTTCCCAAATTTGGATCAATAAAGTATCTATCTATCTATCTATCTATATAATACATTTACAACAAAGGTAGTCCAAATGCTTGAAGAATGTATGTGTCTATAATATATAAGAAGAAGATGAAGATGGATCCAGGTGGATGTCAACAATCACACAATGCAGTACCTGAGCAGGGGTGTGAGTTGCAGTCTCCTGTCTGAATGTGTGGCCCCGGGCAGCTGCTGCCCCCATGCTGTGGCGAGGGTGAACTGCAGGATCTCTGTCTCGTTTGGACGCCAGAGTCACACTCTGATGAACACTGAGACCACAATGCCCATGCTGACCAGCCGCCGTTCACTGGAATTAAAGAATAACAAATCAGCTTTTCTTTCTAACATTCAATTATGGGAATGAAGATGAACATCTTTCGTACCTGGACAGTGTACAGTGTTACAAGGCTCTGGCTCCTCGCTGTCTCCTTCGCAGGCAGAGTCAGCATGTGTATTGTTGAAGTGTGTGAGTGTGTGGTTGCAGCTGCGGAATCGCCGTCTGATTCCGACATCATCTACATGGTTGAAACATGTCTTACTGCACTCTGACCAGCTGGTCCATTTACTCCAGACTCCATCTGGTATCACTGCACAAGAGGAGGATAGAGAAGTCATTATATATGCAAGTCATTTACAGAACTAGGATACTACCATGAGACTTGCATTTCATTATTTGAAGGCTGAACTGTTATTTTTCATGAAGTGAAAGTCTTTGCACCTAATTACTTATTAAACTGGCTTTATTATACTGTAAAGCCCGATACAATACATCATCAGTTAGTGGAGAGAAGCCCACAAGGTATTGCAAATGTAGGATAAGTCATTTTTTGGACACATTGTATATATTTTGTTAAGCGCAAGATCCAATGCAGCACTTAAAGGTGGGGTAGATAATTTTGGAGAAACCAGCTCGAGTGAACATTTTTTGACAATACACAGCCGGAAAAAATCTGCCACTTCCTTACAGAACCCCTCCTCCAACACACACGAACGCGCACATGACCAATGAGGGCATGAGATAAGATTGTGCACAGGTGGAAGGCTGACAGGCAGGTAGGCCATCCAGTTATTTTCAGCCGGGCTGGCTAAAATGATTGGTCGTGCTTTTTACAGTACTACGGCTTCCACAGATGAAATTTTTTTATGAATTTCTGTCAAAGCACTTCAGATATTCATTGCTATCGGGATGTTAAGAGCATTCCATGGAATACTGTATAACAAAAAGTGTATCTCGAGCCGGTTCTCAAACTTACCTACCCCACCTTTAAGTCCCACATTTAAAGGATTTGTTGTGTTATACTGTAGATCTAATGTAACAAATGTAAAATGCCTTAAAAAGCATCAGTTAAGAATAAATCCCTAAAAAACAACATATGCAGTACAGTACAGTGCAGTACATGGGGTGTGAGTTAGTTTACATACCAGGGCGGCAGGGGGGGGAGCAGCGGCGGACCTCAGAGGAGTCTCCGGGACACGGTTCGACTCTGACTGCTCCAGCTGGGTTCACTGGAGACCTGAGGAGAAACACACAAAGCATAAAGACTCCCGATACAGATTTCATAAGTGGTGTGTGAGCCGTAGAACAGCATCTGTCCCTAACTAATTGATAGTGCATTAACTTAACAAAACCTGTAGGTAAATTACACACAGTAAATGATTCAGTGAAATAATGGCATGACACATCAGGATAAAATAAATATATGCAACCAACAATTGAAAAATGTAATTGAAAAAGCAAACGGAATTATTGATAAAATTCAATATCATCACAGTTCTGTTAAAAGAAGTCTAGTGGAGAGTGCAATGAGGCAGGGGTGAGCTTTGATAGCTTTATGAGTAAGATACTTCATAAATGTGTAAAATGAAACAGGCTCACCTGTAGCGTTGCTGGAGTCCCAGACCACAGGTTACATCACACGGTGACCACGACGACCAGGCTGACCAATGACAGGCCGCCACACAGAGGGAACTGTCACAGGTTACTTGTCCGTCTATGCACACGCTGATGGAACAAAAACCCAGCAGTCAAATGATCTGAAATATTGCTGTTTAAATGTACTGTTCTGAAAGATTTAGATTCTAATAAGCATCTTAGAAATAGCATCAATTAGGCAAAACAAGGCATGCTTTCAGATTGGAAAGCAAAAATAAATATATGTTTGTCCCTCACCATGCGGTGCACTGGTCCCTGTTGACGGTCTGTCCTGGCTGGAGTGTGTGACCGTGCCACAGACACACACATTGGCTGGAATTTACACAACGCCCACCCTGAAGGTACCGATCATTAGGACAGCGACACCCTGGAAAATAAAGATTTGATGTCTTAATTAGTATTTCAGCTACCACTGAACTAGCCTTCGTTAACTATTATCATTCAACAAGCTTCAGCACAGGTTTGTGCATTTTAAATACCCTTATCACGATAAGGAAATAATGATCAATAGCCATCAATTAGTTGACATTGGACAACAAATTATTTGATTTATTCCAACTAGATTTTAGAGTTTCTAGTGAATTGTATAGTGCTCATTTTGACACAACTTAATTTGAAAAGTAACAGACCTGATTGATTCTGGCAACATTAACCAACCACAACTAAATGCATGTCTCCAAAATTACTTTTAATCTTTACAATGTTTACAATAACAGCAATTTCAAGTCATCGTTATGTCTCTCAATTTGTAAAATGAATGAATGTTGAATATACGAGACCAGGGGTTCCCAACCTTTTTTCCCAAGACAAATTACTCCTGCTGGAAGTTGCGCCCCCCCCCCAGCGGAACAACAGCAGCAATTAAAGTCTAAAAGTCTCAAAAATGCTACAACTGCTGTCACAAACTGGATGAATGCGAAGTATTTTGTTAAAGGAGGATGAAAGCGTAATTAAGGGGCACTATTGGAGTGACTTTGATGGTTATTGGATTCAGGATTAATTCATTTGGATTCCCGCTGAATGAAGAAATTAAAGGAAGGCGCAAGTGGAAACAATTCACAAAGGGATTAAACTGTTTAAAAACACATGCTCAAAGTAAGCCGGATTTTGCCGATGTGTTTATGTGGATTCAAAAGTCGTAAATAATCTACAAAATGGAGGAGACTGATCTGATCGGAGCAACTGTGACAAATAATCCAACTGAAACCGGCATGGACAATGACTGTTTTAAAAATGCGCTTATCAAGAAAAGCCTGGTTTGGACACTTTACGGGCAGAAGAAACATTTCTATTAAAGAAAGAATTATACATTTCTGTCTTTTTATGCCTTTATTAGCTACTAACTTGAATTTTTATTCAAATGAATGAATCAATTATTTTGTATATTTTATTGTAATGTAGAGACAAGGCTTTTAGTGACAATCATGTATTGCTTTACAATTATATGTAAAAAAAAAAATGTTGTCAGATAAATTTGTTTTTTTACATATAATGCGATCTTTGGCGCGCCCCCCCCCCACTACTCTAAAGCTCTCCAATCACCCTTTTAGATTTACTTTGATTTGGCTGATTCAACAAATGAGGCTTTCAATAAAATATTTTTTGGCCATCTTATGCCTTCATCCCTTTTATTTACGCTATGTCTTCCTGCTACACGTTTTTCTGTTGCTCGCCCTTCGCTACATTACAACATTTTATGTTTAAATAGGGAGGTAGGTCAACATTTTCCTGCTCACACCAAATTAACTGGCTCCAATTTGCACAGTATAACAAATGCAATGAATGCAGTTCATTCTTAATTTGCAACATTTAAAGATATAGAAAAAGAAGAAGCCATAAGAACTCAACCAAAATAAATGGACATACAGAAGCAAACCCAGATTTGCTATTTGAGTCGCACAGATAGTTTAATGTTTAAGCTTGAGTGAAAAAACTTTGTTGTCGATCGGACTTATAAGCATTGAGAATTTACGGCAAAATTGAATTATTTTAATGGACTTACCAGGATTAGTGTATTTGCCGATGGTAAACCTTTAAATCGAGGAGTCAGTTAGCGTACATTCTTTGTATTTTGTTAAATAAAATTCAGAGAATCTAAAATGGAGGACGTTTTTTAGTCATCATTCACCTTTACCCTCCTCAGAGTATAAATCCCTCCACAAAACAGGAATAGTTTGCAGACAGTTATGAAACAGGAGAGCGTATTTTCCCTCTATAATAATAATAATAATCTGTATCGAAAGAACTGAAGTACCACATTCACTATTGGTTATTATACCTATTAAAAATAATGTACTATAATGTGTCATTAACTCTCGTAATTGTAAGCCAGGCTGTGCAAGTGGTCACTAAGGCAAATTATTATAAAGAGGCTGAATGCAGATGGAGGTTGGAGTGAATGTATGGATCAAACAAACCAAATGTTAATGTTAACTTACTTATATAACGTAACTTGCGCAATTCAATTAAATGATGATCTTTACCTAAACCTCACTAAGTAGTTTTGTTGCCGGGTTCATTAATCGCTTGTGTTGCTAGTTAGGAACACACAAACATAAGTACCCTTTACATATCATCTGTTGTATGACGATACGTTACAACAAGATACACTGATCCCTAGTGTCATGATCTTTGTTTCGTTTTATTTTGAAAAGTGTTTTCTTGTTTTACTTCCTTTCTTTTTGTTTTCCCGCTTTTTGTGATTGTCTCCTATCCACCTGTGTCTGATCACCTGCTGCTCTGTGTTTTAGCCTGCCCTCTCCAGCTGTGTCTTGTCAGTGTGATTCCTGTGTGTAAATGTGCATGTCTTTCCTATTTGTTCACTTTGAGTTCATCGTCAGTCTTCCTTTGTGGGTTCCTGAAGTTGTTTGTTGGCCTGATTTCCTCCTCACGTTGCTGCCCTTGATCCTCGTGCCTCCCGATTTTGTTTTCTTTTCGACACTTTTCCTTTTGTTTTCATTACGTTGCCTGGTCCCTCAGCTTTAGTTAGTTAATAGCTCACTTTTGTGCCTCCCTTGTTTTTGTGTTTGGGTCCAACTTCCTGCCAAATCATGACACCTAAACTTTCAAACAAAAAAAGCTTCACACTCCCGGCAACATCAATCCAGTCCTCCCCCATGGTATAGCATAATAGGCACACAGAGGGGAGGGGGTTATTCAGTGGCGGCGGTTCTTGTCCTGGGGCACCACTTGTCCGAAGAACCTCTGTTGGATCCAGTCCTACGTGGCAGTCTCTTCTTTCCACTTTCATCACTGTCTGGTTTGACCCAGCAAACACACAGAACAAGAAAGTAACTCTCACATTGATCAACATATTCAAACTCCTCCCCTCTGGCACTTCAAATCATTAAGAAGAAGAATTACAACCTTAGTTTATTCCCACTTGACTTTATACACATTTTTGTGCGTTACAATTTATCTGATGCCAGTGCAGCCTCTCTGTCTACAATAGTTAGCAATTAATTTACAGTCACTTGATAATTTAATTGACTGACTGTTTCAGCATGACTTACATGCAGGTTGTGATCCCTATTCATTATTAAATATAGCTACATATGTGGCCAAATCTATAATTCATTGTACAATCCATACAGTATTTATTCTACCCTATTATGTGACTCACATCATGCCCCAGCACTTTGTAGACATTGTATAACTAAGTGAAGTGCATATACTGTTGAAATTAACAAATTTACCCTAAAATAAATGTGGGTTTATTTCTCAATAATGTCAGAACATGTCTCTCATTCTCATTTTTTAAGCCTGTTTCAGGGTCTTTTCTCTTGATCCTCAGACTAAGACCAAACGCCTAGATACTAGATTTCCCTCATACATGCTCATGTTTTGTTAAAGCCATGTTTTTTTTAAGCCTCTATTGGCTAAATTATCTAAATGGATGCACTTAACATGTTCTCTCCTTCATGCCTTTGGCCCATGTTTGTCAGTAATGTTCCATTCAAACATTTCAATCCACATGACCCAAATGTTACTACATTTCAGTTTCCACATGTTTCAGTAACAGTTACACCATTCGCTGTAACCATGGAGACTAAAAGCATGATGACATTTTCTGTCAAGAGTGTTTACATGCCCGTCCCTCCACAGGAATGAAGGCTGTCAAGATGGAAACAAACCACTATATTTAACTGTTCCTTTTTATAGTTTACATAGAGACACGTGGAGCCCTGAACTCCTATTGTAAGGCTTTGTTCACACTGTGGACTCCGTAGCATCACCCGTATGTTTCTGATGAGCCGTTGTGAAGCTTAAAGTTGGACGGCTTTGTTGATATCTTGGCAGTTATGCGGTCGTCAAAAATCCTGGCTAATCTAGAAATGGGCATTGTCGCGTGAAATTGAGGCGGGTGACACAGCAGAGCAAACAGCAAGGGGTTAGTGACCTGAGACGGCACCCACCTGTCAATCAAATCAGCCACGCCCCTAATATAATGTTACTTTGAGCCTTTTATACAGATAAAATGGGTTATCTGTAAACAGAAATTACCCCCAGTAAAGTAATAATTACTACAGAACAAATCTATTTTTGTAACAAGCAGGGTATTTTTCCTACAAATTTGGGAATGTTAACAACACTTTGGAGACAGCCTTAAGTGGTCATTAGATGAACTGCAGTTTTTTGCTTTTCAGTATCATAGGTTGTCCCTCCAGGATGCAAAATTGACCCAAATCCTCAATAGTCCAAAATGTCCAAATGTGTTTTCCTAAATTTGCTTTCAGGATTACAGCACATTTGACCAATGTTTATTTGTTTCCAATAGAAACGTTTATGAACATTTCTTTCCGAATAATGCGTCTTTGTAAAAATTGCATTGGGACCGCTTGGCCGCAGCATTATTAAAATAAGCATTACTTGCGCAGCTGAATTGAACAGAAAATATACAGAAACTGCTGTGATTTCATTGCAATAAACAGATTAAAAGGGTGCAATTTCTCATGCTTGATCTGCTTTCAAGACAACAAGCAAACAACTTTAGAAATGCTTGGTATGTAGGTGGCTATGTTAACATTGTTATCAATACCAAAATAACACTCTAAATCATGCATTCAAACAGCAGCGATGTTATTGTTTACACTGAAATGCTCCTAGTACTAGGATGAGTTAAATCTAGAGATTGCATTTCACTGTTTGTGCTTGTAGTGATAAATAGAGGGTTTTTCTTAACAAACTGAGGGATGATTTTCATAGATTTAGAAATGTTTAGGCAGTTAAAGATGCAATCGTATCTCATTATTTGAAATAGGAAGTGTTTTTGGAAGCAGCCTTATTCTAGCCTCTGAAAGTCTGGATATCTCAGCTTCTCCCACTTCTATTTTGACAATTATTCTTTCTTTCATAACCCCCCAAAATGTTTAGAAAGTACATTACTAAATAGCTAAATCATCCCTGTAATCAAGCTAAAATAAAACAGTGGGTTAAGTTTTTCAATATCCCATAAGCTTGTTGTTGCTACAGGAAGTACGGTTTTTATATTGCATTTATTCTAGCATCTCCCTCTTCTTCATTTTGTAAAGCCATCATCATCTGAGGAGGTGGAGGTATAAGGCACAAGCTGAATTTAACACCTACGACATTCAGAGAAAATTATTCATTTTGCTCCCTTACATACCGTAATCACTCTGCTTTTGGACGGTTCCTTCCTCTGTCCTCATGTTGCCTTCCGTAAGACAAAAGCTGATATGACTCTTTTCAGCAGGAGGATATGCTGTTAAAATGTTTTCCTACGCAGTAAATGTAAAGAAGTAATATGCTTATTTTCTGAGATTTTGTGGTTGAAGACAAATTCAGATTAATGCTCTTATTATATTTGTACCTGCAGATGGGCATCTTTCTGCCGCTGAACTTATTTGAACCCATCATAATGTAAACTTGCTTGTGAACAGTTGACCAAAGATAAGGAAGTGAAACTAATGCACAGATTTCCGATGTTGTGTCAAATTATGCACCCCCGCCGTAAAAAGCACCCCCCCAAAAGAAGATGCTTCTATTAATCCCACCCTCAAGCACTTTGGAGGGTATAGTTGTCGGACTAGTACCAATAAATGGAGCAAGTTTCATGTATATGACACGTGTATTGTCAGAGATAGCAAGGGTTGCATATCGTGGCAACCAAGCTATTCATAAAAATCACCACCCAAAATAAAAACAATTATATTAATCCCACCCTCAAGCACTTGATGTAAAAATAAACAATACATTGTAAAGTACAAGTACAAGCAAAAGTATACAGACAGGACGTCACAATTAAATAAAAACATATATTAAATAAAAAATTAACTGAAAAATAAGAGAAGAATGAATGCAAAATCCAGGATTCGACAACCCAACCATCAAAAAGACAACATTCAAATGCGNATTAACACCAATATTATCATTTATAAAAATGCTATCACAAAAAAAATAACATAAGCTGCAGATTTTCTAATTAAATATACGTAGCCTACCAACTACAAAATAAGCGGGTATTAAAGTGTAAATGGACAAC